TAGAAACATCCAAAGAAGAGCTTTGAATGCACTTCAAGAAGCCTGTAGAAGTACATCAGTACTTCTACAGGCTTCTCTATGGTTCTATGATGACTGCTTAAAGAGATCGCAAGAAAACTTGGTCAGGCTGTGCTGAAGAATAAAGGTGCTCATACCAAATATCAACTTTCAATTTGTGTTAGCGCACGATTCTATCAGTTGCTGCCATGGTTATTATAACTAACTGAAACTTCATTTCAGTAAACTACCATAAAAATCAAAACTAGACGTCTGAATAAAATTAAAAACACTGGATTATATAAACTGAAACAATTTTGTAAAATTTGGAAAACTAGTGAGTTTTTTTTTATTAAATAGATTTTGTTTTTAAATTATCAAAACTTGCCTGATGAGGCTTTGGTAGATATGTTTCTTGATGCTTTAGATGTCTACAAGACTGTGAATCAACTCCTTACAAAATTCAGTGTTTTTATTGTAATAACTGTACTGATTTTCTTAACTATTGCCTCCCACATGTGCCCTTCTTACAATAATTTTCATTTGTTTAGCAAAATATAACGAAAGAAGGGGAAGCTCAAGACTGCTGTTCAGTCTCATACATGTATTCAGTCTAGTGTTTTTGTAAGTTTCAAAAAATGCTTGAATAATGAGCCGTAAAGTATGTGTTGATCTAAAATATAAATGCCGTTTTGATTAGAAACAGCAGTGCCAGTGCAGGAGACCTCACATCAGAGGATACTGACGACCTCAGCGCTGCGGTACAGGATGCAGAGATCTGCCTGCTGAAATCTGGAGAACTGACGTAAGTTTCTGTGAAAGTTACACCTGAAAGCCACAAGTGTAGTTGCATTTTGTGAGGTCAAATGTTTTGTTTGGGTTTCTAATTTTCAGAAGAAGTTTCTCTTGTCTTTTTGTGATAAAAGTGTTGAACTACATCCTAAAAGGGAACTGAAAAATGAAGCAAATCTGGTTTGGGGGTTATCAACTTCTCTAAATATTGTGCAGTACATGTTGCAGATCCAGTTTCACTTCTGGTGTAACCTGGAGCTGGTTTGTTCAGGCGGTGTGGAAACTTTCTGCTGTTAGCACTGTTTTTCAGTGTTAAAGAACACACCTTTGATAAGGTTGAAAACTGTAAACAGGACTTTGAATTTCAACATTTTAAAGGGAACCAGTCTATTTATAGATTCAGGGAATGTACTACTTCAAATGTGTAAACATGGTATAAAGCGATTCATATGACCAGATGATTTATGCCACTCAGTGAGCGTCAGATGGAGCCAATCAAGATGAAAATGATTCAAAAAGATTGAAGTGAAATTCCAGACTTTTGTAATCATTTTCTCATCACCACAAGGGGTGAGGAGCTCAAGGTTGCTTGCTAGCTGCACACTACTAGTATTATTCTTCTTGTTATCAATCAATCTGACAGCTGATCAATGAAGGTTTGGTCTGTAGGATTTCAGACGTTTCTTATTTCCAAGATAACTTTTTCAAATTCCTTTTTAATCAGAAAAGAAATGTTGCAATGTGAGCTTGTGTTTTTGCACGTCAATCCTTTCAGCTCTACAGAGATTTATGAAATTCTGCAGAAATCTTCAACATACCGTAGTTTTCGGGTCATAAGCCGCTACTTTTTTCCCACACTGTGAACACTGCGGCTTATACTGACGTGCGGCTAATGCATTTTTTTTTTCATGCAGCCAAAAACATTTTGCCTGGTAACAGTAGACCAATAAAATTGATAAGCAGTATATATACGGTATATATTTTTACCGGTTGTTAAGAGACGTTGTAATGTTGTTTGTACACTGTTCCGTAAAAAAACCATAAGCAACGTCATTTGTGTGTTACTGATACGTACGTATACTTAAAGGTAGCCGTGTTACAGGCGCTGTTCGAGGAAAAGAAGCATTTGCAGTATGTATTTTTGTATGTTACTATAACGTTTATGTTACCATGTTTATGTTACCTTACGGATTAAATTAAACGTTAAAAATCCTCACGTGTAATATTTCTGTGTAAATATCTGATATTACGAGTGAAACGTACAATTTTGTACAAGTACAAAATTGATTTTCTTTCTAAAATTAGAGCATGCGGCTTTTAATCAGGTGCGCTCTGTAGTCCGGGAATTATGGTACTTCTTATTACCACTGTGTTTTGAGAAATGTTAGCTTTTTAGCTGCTCTCAACCTGCTGCTAATCCAGTCATGTAGCATAAGATACCAGCCAACTATATTTGTAATTAATATTTTTTACAGTTTAACAGAAATATGACCCTGAAGTTACCTATTCTAGCTCATTAACAGTAAATGTGGTGTGTTTCTTAAGGTGTTTGATAGATATCTGAATACTTTTTTGTGCACAGTGACTGGATAAACTGAAAAAAACCCTGAAAAATATCAAGTAAATTGGAAATTAGGATTTTGTTTAAAAAATGGATAAATGATATGGGATTAAACTGGGTTGGGTACTGCAGTGCCACTGTTTCAGCGTGAAATGTTTCGTTCCACACGCTGCAGGTTCTCTGTGCACTTCACGGTGGATGACATCGCAGCGTTTGGCGACAGCCCCCGAGAGCTTTTCATCAAATCCAGCTGTTACAGCACCATCCCCATCACCATGAGCAACCCTGGTCCTACTGTGTCCTGGACCTTCACATCTGAACCAAAGAGCATCTCCTTCAGTGTGGTCTACAGGGAGAGCAGTGAGACTCCACTGGAACAAGCCAAGGTGAGAGCCCAGCATGTGTATAACCATGGGTGAAGGACACGACCTCACAGAGATACATTTCCATCCAATTCCATTCCAATAAAGTGGATTTATTCAACTGTAAACCGATCTCCAAAGGAATATAAATTCACCAGTGAACATTAACGTGAACATTTGATCTTATTTGATAGTTATAAAATGAAAAGGGTAAGCAATATGAAAGATTAGAATCGATCTACAGAAAACAGTCGCTCGCATATGCAGCTCATCACAACACTGGGTTTGTTGGTTATCTTTCAAACTGATTTTTTTAGCACTGACTCAGTCTCAGTGTTCTTGGTGTTCAACAAACACAATTTAACAGCTGCTGAACGCAGTGGAGCGTTCAGCAGCTAAATAGCCAGATGTTCCCCTCAGGAGAGGATAGTGACCAAAAGGCACTACTGCCGTGACTACCGCCACACAAACATGACTTCAAATGAATAGTAATGGATGTGTTAGTAGCCAACTTTTAACACTGATGCGATATGAAAATCAATCTGCCAGTTTGATGTCTTAGAATATGGAGGACTTCCTGTGCATGCAGCAGTTGTCGGATTCAGGTCATTACTTACAAATGAAAATTAATTTAGAAAAATGAAATCGCTGTCAGACGATAGCTGATGGTTTCAGATGTTTTCTGGCAAATGCCACCATTTTTTTTGCTTTCTATACAGATCGTTCACCTATGTGCATCCAAAGCCCACTCAAACCTGATTGGTCAGTGTTTCCCATTTAAATTCTGGCACTGATGGGTTTACATATACACAGATGTGCATACGGGTATATGTGCACATGCTTTTGTATATAGTTTTGTGTTTTTCATATATTTTTTCTATTTGCCAGACAGTCAATGACAGATAAACTGTACATGTATATATGGTGCCAAGAACCTCCAGAGATGTAGCTGGCAGATAAACGAGAAGTGAGAAGGTGGGGCTAACTAGTTAGCAGTGACCCAACTTTAAAAAATGACAGCAAGAGGACTCACCTTCTTCTTTCAGCTGCTCCCTTTAAGGGTCGCCACAGCAGATCATCTACCTACATCTCACTCTATGCCTGGCATCGCCCTCTGTCACGTCAGCCCTCTGCATGCCCTCCTTCACTCCATCCATGAACTTCCTCTCTGGTCCTCCTCTTTTCCTCTGCCTGGCAGCTTCAACATCCTTTGTCCAGTATAGCCATTATCCCTCCTCCGCACATGTGCAAACCATCTCAGCCTTCTCATTCATAAAGATGGGTACAAAACTTAAAAATGAGTTGGGTGGGTCACCAAATTAAATTCTCTGTGGGTAACACTGCTTTAGAGCGTGGACTATAAACTGGGCATTGAAATCTGGTCACTTGCCTAGAGAATGTTTATATAGTGTAACCTTAATAATACCGTGGATGTGTATTTAGCCTAACCGTCTAACCACCAGTGATTGAAGTAAACGTTTGTGTCAGTTTATTTCATCCAAGTCAACAAAACACCTCAGACTGTGGCAGGATTTTTTCCAAATATTTATTAGCAATAAATCAAGTCAGAGAGGGACAAGCGGCCTTTCCCAGCCTGCTGATAGTGTGGGGCTGTATTCTGTGACCCCTGGTGTAATATGCAGTGTGCATGCAGAAGCAACTAAATTATTCAGTTCATATTTCCTCAGTGATAAAGCAGAGCTAATATTTTATTCTACTGTGGTTCTTATGCAGCCGTAGCAGAGCCGCCCACTGTGTAAGCTGCCCGGCAGCAAACATAAAAATGTGTCAGGACAGGGTTAAAAAAGGTCACGGAGCAGTGGAGAAAGTCCGGCAGCTTTTCTGCACATTTATTGGGATTTAGATTCAGTAAGCTGATTCTGAATTGGTTTCACAGTTGGTAAAATGTTGCCTCTTGTTGCCATCTTGTGTACACAGAAGAAATCCTTAACCAGGATTTCTCTCCTTTGCTCTCTGCAGGTTTTGATCCCTCTGACCCGTTGTAACTCCCACAAGGAGACAATACAGGGGGAACTAAAAGTCAGAAATGCTGGAGAATACACACTTATCTTTGACAACTCCTTCTCCAGGTTAGTCACACTGTGCTCTAAGCAACAACTGTTCAGAATAAGACTGAACAAAGCAGAACATAAAGCCTTCTCTGTCTCTCCTGTTTGTCAGGTTCATCTCTAAGAAAGTGCTGTATCATCTGAGTCTAGACAAGCCTGTGGTCTACGATGGAACCGACCTCCTCTGAGTGTGGCAGGAGCAGCACGAGGATGTGTAACACTGACTTTTTCAAACTGTCAAGGCTGTTTAAGCGCATAGTTATCACTTCAGAGTCTTCTGATGCTGAGCAGCCTCAGCGGAAAGGTCACAGCATTAAAACACATAAGTAAATAACAATATTACACTACGGTATGTCAGCATGCACTTTTATGAAAGCTAGTTTAAATATACATAAGGAAGGATATCCAAAGTTCAGGCGCTTTCGTATTTGAATGTGACCGCTTAATGTGTGTGTCAGTTAAAATCCTCTTTTCACAATATGAGAAGTTTTATGTTTTGATATCCAAAAGTATCAAAATCAAATAAAAAGGGTTGAGGAAGTGTTTTTATACTTAAAAAAAAAACCAGGGAGGGATGTGGGGTTTTGCGTAAATAAGTGGCCATAAATACATCAGATAAAGATGCTTTATGAGAAAAAAAAAATAATATACAGTAATAATTGTTGTACATTGTTCCCAGAAAAGCTCTGACTGCTGGCAAACACATGCGATTGAGTCATAATCAAACAGGGAGCCTCTTGTTGTGAAAGCGTCTGTGGTTGCAAGCTGAGATCAAATCGAATCACTTGATTTATTAACGGTAACTTTGATTGTAAAACGTTTCAGTGGAAGAATTCAACTCTGATGTTAACTCTGATGTTAACAGAGTCTTAACTGACGCTTCAGTGGACATTAATGCTGCGGTAGAATGAGCCCAGCAGTCCTTTCACATATCTTTCTTACTGTTGCCTTTTCAGCTGTCAGAAATTAGATGAAATGGATGTGTCGCAATCATGACGAAGCTTAAATGGAAGAAACAGAACCACAGGAAGAACCCGGAAAGCATTTGGTTTTATTTATCTTGAGTAAACAGGCTTTATTTCAGTGCTTTGTCTCTAGTGGTTGCAGCTGAAGACAGAGGGGAGTGTGGCTGCTTGGGTTCTGTGCATGCAAACATTAAGTGTGTGTGCAAGCTTTCCCAACTTCATTAAGCATATATCAAAATGTAAGTTTCAGTGCTTCAGTATTTAGTTGTTTTTTCCCATCAGTTTAACCATCACTCTTGATGGTTTTACATTTAAAGTGGGCAAAAATGGGACAAATTCTCATGAAAACCACGAAGCTGTTACTGTCTCTAGAAAGAAAAAAGAATCATCTTTAGAATCGTTTTCTTGGGTTTTTTATGCTTTTGCTGTGTAATGTTCTGGATGAGTTAATTAGAGTGTTTTGTTATGAGAAATGTGCAAAACCTGCAGTGTGTCAAACAGAAAACACGAGCCTCAGCCTTTAAATCACACAAGTCCAAAAATTCTGTTACTTTAATACCTGATTTTTTTCATATGTGGACCTTTAAAGGGTTTAATGTGGAAGATAATCCAAGTTTTCAATCAGCAATCCTCTCAGTGTCTCATCATTTAACAATACTGACAGAGTAACATTGATTTAACTGCTTTGCTCTATCCAGAGGTTTTACAAAATCTCTTCCACCATTTTAAACCCATTTTGTAATTTATGTTGTGAAGAACTGACAGGAGAAAAGAAAACAAGGAAAAATGCTAATTGATTTTTATACATCCGCTCATTAAGAGTGACAAGTTGCCAAATATATTTTACAATTCTTAAATGGGAGTTTCTATTTAAAGACACTGCGACATGACTGCTGTATAATGCACTTTGTGAAAGGGCTTTTTGTCGATATGTATCCCATGAGCCTTTGTGCCAGATGATGAATGAGTTTTTTTTCTCCTCCATATGTAGGCAGTGTTTGATTGTAGATGTTTACAGCTGGATTTACCAGAGGGAATCTGCCGACACATCTTATGAGAACTAAATATTTATACTAGAAATGATGTAAGGTTATGGTTAATAAATAAGGATTGTGTGATGAATGTGTGGTTGCTGGTCATTTTAATCTGAAGCATATCACTGTGTGTATTTGATGGTCACATTGTTTTTTAGTCACACTGGTCTGTGGATGTCAATCTGCTCACGATGGAAGTGTCTCGACAACCACCAGAAGAGCTACCGTGCACATTCATGCATGTACGGTTTGCAGAGGAGCAATTCAGCTGAATTTGCTGAAGGTTGTGAGGTTAACAAGGAGTAAAAGCTAGCCTGATGTTAAAATCCTCAACTGTGAAGCATTAGAAGGCATGTTTACAGAAAGTAGTTTTGGCCTATATAGATAGTTTCCCCCTTCATAGATGCTCTGTGGGGGGTGATTTTTGCTTGTAATCTCACAGGAGCTACGGTGTAAACAAGAGGGTTTCAGTGCTGGAGCTGATACAGTGATCATCATGGGGAACGTTGATGAGCTCTGTGAGCTGATTAAGACCAGAGGGAACTCAGTGAATTTGATGCGCTTCATGCGGCGTTGTACCGGGACTGTCACGCCCTGACTGCACCGACCACAGCATGATCATACCTGGCTGTACGACTTCTATGGCGGACAGGAACTAGAAGCTGGTAACAGCAATCTTACCAGCTCTTGGGATGAAAAAGGATACATTCAGTGAAACATTTATTTACATAACAGGTGACTACTGAATCTGTTGTTGTTACACCGCGTTTATTAAAATGTACAATGTATGTACAAAAGCAGAAAATATTTTTATGTTACATTTTTGGAAAGAAACAACAGCACGTTATTTATGATTCAAACAGCTTTAAATGAATGAACAATTTTTAATTTGCATATTTTAGTCACATAATGCTGATATCCACCCAGCTGGAGTTGGAGTGATAACATTATATATTTTTTACGATTTCTGTGTAGTTTTCACACTTCGCAAAGCCACCTTGTGGGTTAGACTGCTCCCTGTGGTGAGGATAAATTTCCCGACCCACCTTACTTTACATCTACAATCTCAAATTTCACATTAACTGCATTTGTTGTTATCTGAACAGCATTTATCTCACAAAGCAACAAAATGTTCTCGAAGCACAGAGTTGGTATGTTAAAATGTTAAAAGAGACATAGGCAGCATGTAGCTGGGAAAAGGTTGGGGAAACGGTCCAAATTACAAATCTGAGAAACACAAAAGAAATATTAAATCTGAGGGAAACTACAACATGTAACTTGCATACAACTGTAAGTTACATTTTTATCATATTTATGAGTATTTTAGTTACTAAGATTGTTAACTTGCATTCATAATTGGTATAAATTTAATTTGATACTCTGTTAAAATAGTACAGTAAGACTGTTTTAAATATACTGTGTACTCAAAGAACTGTTAGGTAGTCTGTAGCTGAGTCTGTAGGAGAGAACTACATGTGCTAGCATGTCCTTGTGAATGTCCTGTGTTAGCATGCTCTTATTAGCTTATAGCTCAAGTGCAGGATATTGTACCCATATTCTTAAAATCGCTTCTTCTAGCAATCCTTTTCCAGGTATCCAGGTAAAAGGAGATTAAAAATCTAATTTCTTCTTTCAGCAGCTCTGTTTTTACCATCTTTACCCTATCCTCCTCTGTCACACCAACCCTCCTTCACTATCCATGAATCTTCTCTGTGGTGTTCCCCCTTTCTTCGTCTTTTGTCTTTGTCCAACAGTTGCACATTTTCCACCAGAACCCTGTTGTTCTGGGCCCTGACTGAATCAGTATGAAAATCTCATCTGCATGTTTGATTTGGCAATGATTTCATGGCGGATGCCCATCCAGATGCAACCATCCCAGTTTTTTCCAGGCTTGGGACCAACACTGGAAGTACTGTGGCTTGAAGCCCACTGTCTCTGCTGTATAAAATCATGATCAGATATAAACATCTAAATGTCTTAGTATATCATTTTTAAAATCAGAATGCATGTCTGAATATTTTTGGTTAGCTGAAGTTTTGCACCCTTTCTCCTGAAGCAGTCACTTCAGCTCTGAGCAGCTACTGGGTTAATTGTGTTTATTGCATTTTAAGAATTTGTCTTCTTTCCCAAAAAACCCCCCAAAAAGAAAACAGGATAAGGGGAATATAGTTTGCTTCTCGTTTCTTTCTCATTATGCCTTTATTTTGCCACTTCTTGTTCTTCTTCTAGTGTGAATCCATTACATCTTCACCGTGTCTGGGACACAGCTTATGTCGTGTTATTTTAAGGATCACAGGATGTGTGTTTGCCTTTTCGTACATCAGTCTGTGTCTGTGTGTGTGTCTGTGTGTGTACACATGGTATTGTTCTAAGAGGGTGTTTGTCTCAGAGATAGTGTTTATGTCGCACAGGCCATTCTGTTTCTCAAGGTTAATGATCTCATTGTAAATCATGTCACATCCACCTTCCCTCTCCCCGACTCCCCTCCTGCTTTTCTCTCCTCCTGCCTGTCGCCTTCACTGAATCTGTCATTTGCTCTGTTGCTGTGCACATGTATGAATTTGCGTGTCTGTCGGAGGCGGTTGTTTATAATAGTGACTGCGTGTTGAATGTAGATGGGGACATTCACACGTGTGAGCATGTAAGGGGAAAATCACATTGTTGCACAAGCGTGCATACGATGCACATTTATATGAAATGTCATTCCACAATTACAGCACATCACACTTTCCTTTATATGTGGAGAAACTGCTTTACAGCCTCCCCTGCTGTTCTGTTCTCATCGTCATGTATCTGACAGTTACACAGAAGTGTGTCTTTTTCCCCTTCTCTCTCTAAACTTCTCTTTTCTTGTTGAAAAAAGTAAACACATGCAGTCCTTCACAGTATTGGTAGTTACCAAAAATCTTTTTTATGTGTCTGTAATCATTAATCCACCAACATGTTCCAGCTCTTTGATTGAAATATTTTTAATTCTAAAAATCAAATTTTTTTTTAACGTTTTACAGAAAAAAGTACTGCACATTATTATTGTTGATTAAGATGCCAAATTACAGTTTTTTAATGTGCATTCCTGAACAGATTCATTCGTTTTAGTGGTCGGATGTTTGATTTATTTCTGACTTCCCAGAAAAGTCCAGTATGCCGACTCAAACGTGGTATAAAAACAAAACATCAGTTCATTAAGTAGGTTTTTAGTTTTAGACAAGTTTTTGACAGATTTCTAAAATATTTGTGTATTTCTTTTTTATGACATGTTGTCTAATAAATTTGTTACGCACTGTATTTGTGTTCTGCTACTTTAATTAAAAGGGATGCAACACATTGCAACTAAAGAGTAAAATGTGTGAGGTACATTATCTCTGATGTGCTCTTGTTTGGAGTGGAAGATATTAGCAACTCATAGATGACAGCTGATGAAGAATCAAAAGAAAAGTCAGTTTTTTTTACCTGATGATTGATGTGAAAATGAATTACAGTATTTTGTTGTTGTTCTTTGTTTTGATGCTATAAGAGATCTACTAATGAAGTTAATCATAGCATGCACTAGAAACTCTTGAAACTTTTTTTTCCTTCGTTCATGTGAAAATGGAGCTCATAGTGCAAGACAGTGCCCTAAAAAAGTATCTTAGCTAACCTATTAAATAGAACTTATTAATTAACTTATTTTGGAATGCAGAACAGTTTTGTCTTTAAAGCCCTTTTATTCACTCATATTATGCTGTAATGGTGTGTAATTCTAAAGCTTGCACACATTTAGCCTGTAGCTCTGCAGCCCCCTGGAGTCTTTGAGCTCAGGACGTTAGCCCACATTGTTCTCCGTGTCACATTGCTCCAACTGATTGCTGTTGACAATGCTGGCACGGTAATGTTGAGGTTGGCAGAATCATGCACATGGGTTAATCCTAATGTGCGGATTTCTGACTCACTGTCCATCAATCATAATGTGTATTATATCAGCATTACTGGCAGTAAAATGAAATGAAAAATTCATTTACTGTGCATAGGTGGGTGTTTGATAGCCTGTGTACAGTCAGAGCAGCGAATTAGCCCAACACAGTGGGGACAATACATTTTAGTTGCTTATATAATTTTTAAAAAATGGACAGTTTGTCTCTTCACTGTAAACACAAAAAAACATCCTTTGTCAAAATACTGTGTGTTTCTAACATATAACTTATAGTACAGTAGACCTAAACATCTCCAATTTGCAGTGGATGAAGTTTCAGACCACCCACTGTCCACAGTAACACTCCTGTTTAGAGGACCTCTCATGCTTTATTAAAGTCTTCCCCTCAGACACCTTAACATAACCTGTACCTGCGTGACACTGCATTATCATAACTGAATAAAGATGGGTCTGAGTGAGTTGGCAGCCTGTCTATGTGCAGAGAGCACAGCACTGATCCGGACTTGCCGCTGTGTCCCTAGCAGTCTACGCATGTCTGTATGCATTGTGAGGTTAGACACACGGACACGCTGGTGTGTCTTTGTGAATGTGCCTCCATCTGTTTGCTCACTGTATGTGTGTTTCCTCTCTCAACACTTTCTCTGCTCAGGATTTGCAGCCCCCTGTAGTGGTAATGGCAGGTCGCGTTGGCCCCTCTCAGACAGTTTGCTCCTGTCAAATATAGTTTCATAGTTTCAACCAGACACTTTCAGCTCCTGCTGCCCTGGGACCCTCCATCACAAGCTGCAGGCCAGTCAGACATTTTGCTCACACAGCAGCAGATCTCGTTTTCCTCTGCTGGACTCCCCTTTCCTTTTTTTCTACTTTCTCCTGTTTCCTGATTTCTTATGGCTTCACACCTGTGCTGCAAAAAATGCACAAGCACACACAGCCCAAGCTAGGAATTGTCCTCCAATGTACTCATACTTGCTGTTACACAAACTTCATAGGCCAGTATATAGCTGTGTGTTTTACATGTTTACATCAGGCAAAGATACCTTGTGAGAAGTTAAAAATAGACATTCTAATTACTTTGGGTAAGGGGCAACTAATGGGGCATTTATAAAATGCAAACCTTTCAAAAACTAAACCTTTGTGGTAATTACATTAAGGACCACAATTTGCCATGGTATCA